CCAACTCCTGGGCTTACACGATTCTCTTGCCTCAGCCTACCAAGTAGCTGGGACTACAGGTGCCCACCACAATGCCTGGCTACTTTTTGTTGCAGTTTGGCTGGGGCTAGGTTTGAACCCCCCACCCTCAGTATATGGTACCAGTGCCCTATCAGCTGAGCTACAGGTGCCACCCTATGCCTGGCTATTTTTAGAGATGGGAGTCTCACTCTTGCTCCAGCTGGTCTCCAACTTATGAGCTCAAGCAATGCACCAGCCTCAGCCTCCCAGAATGCTAGGATTACAGGCATGAACCACCACACCCAGATCTCCCCCCTTTTTTAAAAAGAGACATGGGCTTGCTCTGTCACCCAGGCTAGAGTGCAGTAGCAGAAATCTGATCCTCTTGCCTTAGCCTCCCAAGGAGCTGAGGCACACCACCATGCCTGGCTAATTTTGTAATCTTATTTTGGAAGTTACATCTCACCATTTTGCTGGATTCATCCAAAGTAGGTCACTAGACCCAGTTCACACTCAAGGAAAGATTTCACAAAACTGGGAATACCAGGAACCTTCTTAGAGGCTGCATACCACATCTAAACCTCACATAGACCCATAAGGCAGGCAGCCAAGGCAACTGCCCTAGCCCACATTGTATCCCTCTCTCCCTCAGCATTCCAGCCACAGGCAGAAGCACTAAGAAGCACAATTTTATTGAACACAATTTAAATGGAGCCCCTTGGAGGTTTCCCTTCCCTCAGACAATGAGCCCACTCCTACCCCCAGATCTTTGTACTTCTTCCAGATCTTCACATGATAGGCTGATATGGGTCATTTGGGGCTTAGCTGAACAATCACTTCAGCTCTGGACTTTGCTGGCCATGCACTGCAATGCTTCCTCCTCAGCTTTCATTTTCCATATTGAAGAAGAGAAAACTTGAGGCCTGGAGTTAAGTCACTGTCCAAGGTCAGAATGACAAAGTGGGGAGGATGTGAACTCGGGTCTCACCTCCAAACTGCTTTAAATAGAGATGCACTGCCCAGGATCATTCTCCAGAGCATCCACTTCTCCCCCAGGCAACCTGAGCTCTTGGCTGTCAAGTCCAAACATATTTTAGGGAACAAATGGCTGGACACACACACTTAGCACGATAGGTACTCAGCAAATATGAGAGTGCTTGAAGTGCCTGATAGTGTGTGTGCTTGAGGGCAAAGGTAGTGAGTACAAACATCACTGTGGTATTAATATAGGATTCCTCTTCAGAAAGAAAAGGAAACACACAGGGGGGATATTAATTGCTAAGAAGTCTCCAAGAGGAGAAACCATGAGTGGCTGACCACAGAACAAAGTTAGGTAATAGCTACTAGGTATATGGTTGCCATGTCCATTTGCCTGTCTGCAATACCACTGTGTCACTTAGTAAAGATGGCAATCCCTTCTCCTTCCAAGCTTTCAGACCGCACAAGGAGCAAGTCTGCACTGGGTGCTCTTTATCTTCATCACTCCTAGCACTGATATTCCTCTTTTAATAGTGAAAGAAGATGGGTACAGGATTGGACCTAGAACCTTGACAGAAAACAATACCCAGATAGTATGTTTTACTGCATTTATTTTTGTGGTGAATTTTCTACTGCTGTCAAGTGATCTTCTTTCCATTTGTATTATGTGAGAATGGGTCTTAAGTTATACATATGAGTATATGTGCCAATTTAAATTTTCCAGGACACATATGTGACAGACTGCTAAGGAGTATCCCTCCTATTCAAACCCCCTCCCTGCCCCATTTTTTTTTGAGACAGAGTCTCACTCTGGGCAACAAAAGAAAAGAAAAGAAAAGGAATGGCAGCCAGCCCATGGCACTGTAGCAGAAGAAATGGGGAAATAATACCTCACCCCCACTCTCCTCTGCCTGTCCAGGCTCCTGCTGAGCTCCTGAGTCAAACAGAGCTGGTTTAGTGGGCACTTCACTGTGCAATTGCAAGGGGCTCCACACTTGGTTTAATGCCCTACTGTTGGTGTTTTGAAATTCTTGTTTTCTATCTCTCTGTCGCCCTGGGTAGAGTACTGTGGCACCACCACAGCTTACAGCAACCTCAAACTCTTGGGCCCAAGCAATACTCTTGCCTTGGCTTCCCAAGTAGTCTGGACTATAGGTACCCGCCAAGACATCCAGCTAATTTTTCTATTTTTAGTAGAGGCTGATCTCAAAATCCTGAGCTTAAGCAATGCAGTGTTCAGCCTCCCAGTGTTAAAAGTACAGGTGTGAGCCACTATGCCCAGCCCAATCTCCCCTTCTTATCTACAGCTTTAGCTGAGCACATGGCTGCCTGGCCAGAAACTATGTCTCCTATGCTCCTTGCATCTAGGGGAATTTGGGTCAGGAACCCGCCCAAGACTCCTTGCTGGTAGGTGACAACCAAGGCAGATCAGCTGTTTGAGGTGGCCACACCCCTATGCCAACATCTGGTCAGCAGCTCTTCACGTGTAACCAAGTTAGTATGGGCACTCTCAGAAGCAACAGTGGCATCATCCTGAACTCTAGACTGGAGCTCAGTTGGGTACTGCAAACTTGAACTCATATCTCCAACCCAGACTGCCATTCCCACCACCTTTCCAATGATTTCAGAGCACTATTCATGGGTCACTATGAAAGTTTTGAGACAGACTATGATACAGTGCATTACTTCACTTCCAAGAAACACAGTCGACAGCATCCTTTCAAATTAATTTATGCAAGTTGTCAACTTGCTTGGGTTTGTCAGTGGGGCCAGAAGGGCTTCATCTATTTCTGCCCATGTGGATTTTTTCATTTTTGTACATCGCAAAACTTTTCTAATGACCCTTATACAGTATTAAATCCCTTTCTGCCTAAAGTACCTAGAGTGGTTTCTGTGGGCTGTTGCCCTTTGTGCAGATTAAAGAAAGGTAAAGAAATACTTTTTTCCTTAACATTCTTGTCACCCATGAGAAACTGTTGAATGTGGCATCCATATGTGATACAGAGCCTGCCTAACTATACACGGCAGCTCTGGGTTTCCATTTCCCATCCTGAATGCCAATTTAGACAATACAGAAAACTGCCAAAGCAGTAAGTCTGGACAATATTCCTACACTACTTTGTTTTCCCAAGGTTGCAAACCCCAAAATGCCAAGAAATCCAAAAACAAACCCAGGATATGCTAATATGAAGGGAAGGGAAGTACAGAGAGCAAGAAAATCAGACAGACAAATGGTTGTGAAAAACCAAACCTCAAAAAAACACTTTAATTCCACCCTAACAGCACCAGGTGCAATGTCTGGGGACAGACTCTGGGTACAATGCTGTGTGGCGACCACTCACTCACACACTGCTCCGAGAAGGCCCCCGAGGGGGGACTTACCTTCAGGGGGCTGAGCCAGGGGGATAAGGGGTGGCCCCAGAACAGGGGCAGGGGCAGGCATGGGGGCAAGGTGCTACTTCTTGGCAAAGGAGATCTTCATAGCGTTGTTCTGGGTAATCTTAAAGCCTTGAAGGGCATCACGAGCTGCCCCTGCCTGCACCTCATTGTCAAACTCCACAAAGGCGATATCATGCCGCCCTGGGACCAGACGGACCTCCTTGAAGCCAGGGAACCTGAAAGAAGGAATAACAGACCTCATGGACCCAGGTAGCATCCCCTTCTAACATTCTGGCATCTAGTGGATTGAGGCTAGGCGTGATGCTAAATATCCTCCTACTATGCACAGGACAGTTCTTTCATAACAGAACTATCTGGTCCACACTGTCTACGGTGCTAAGTTGAAAAACCCTAAAAAAAACATGCTAGTTAACGAGAAAAAAAAAAATTTTTTTTGAGACAGTTTCACTTTGTTGCCCTCAGTAGAGTGCTGTGGCATGCTGGCTCACAGCAACTTCAAACTCTTGGGCTTAAGCGATTCTCTTCCCTCAGCCTCCCAAGTAGTTAGGACTACAGATGCCCACCACAAGGCCAAGCTGTTTTTTAGAGACGGGGTCTCGCCCTTACTCAGGCTGGTCTCAAACTCATGAACTTAGGCAATCCACCCACCTTGGCCTCCCAAGTGCTGGGACTATAGGCGTGAGCTACTAAGGCTGGCCTGATGAATTTTTTTTTGAGACAGAGCCTCAAACTGCCCCCCTGGGTAGAGTTTCGTGGCATTACAGCTCACAGCAACCTCCAGCTCCTGGGCTCAAGCGAGTCTCCTGTCTCAGCCTCCCAAGTAGCTGGGACCACAGGCGCCCGCCACAACCCTGGCTATTTTTTGGTTGCAGCTATCATTGTTGATTCGAACCCACCACCTTAGGGGCCAGAGGTGCTGAGCTTGATGAAATTTTTTTTTAAGAGATGCAGTCTTGCTGTGTTGCCCATGCTAGACTTGAATTCTTAGGTTCAAGTGATTGTCCCACCACAACCTCCCAAGGAGGTGAGACTACCAGCACAGCACACACCACTGTGTTGGCTTTCATGAAAAATGTTAATACGAATAGCCATGCAACCACAATCTGTATGAATAAACAATACACTGCAGTTCCTGCATCCTCTAATCATAACCCACCTCCTGCCCCAGAAATAACCATTAAGACCTATGTTTCTCTAATTTACCTTTTCTCATTCCTTACTACCTTTTCCATTAGGCATCCATCCTCATGTATCCTTTTTTCCATTACTATTCTTATATATCCCTTCTTCCAGATCGCCTCCGACACCCCAGCACAAACACCATGACATTCCTATGTACATGCCCACCTCCTACTGCTATTTTACAACATATTTTTTGCCAGTCTAGCTGGTGTTCAATGATGACTCAATGTAACAAACCTTGCACTGTATTTCTCCATTTCAGAGCCTGGATTCTTTTCACCCTCCAAAAAGACTGACAAAGTCCAGGATACCATGATGGGTACGACCCCTCCAGCCTCACTACTACTTCAATGCCCACAGACCCAGCTGCAGCCTTTCACTTCCACATCTTCAGTCACTGGCCTTTCTGCAAAGCCAGAGCTGGCTCAGGGCTCCACCAGCAGAATTCTGAGGCCCATTACCATGGTGCTCTCTCCTAGTAGTCCATCCAGCACCCAGCCACAGGCCCCACTTACTGGTTGAAAAGCATGGACAGCATGAGTTCATTGGTCTCCTCTGGCAGGTTGGTGAGGAACAAGATGTGATTCGGTGGATTCTCAGAAAGCTGCCAGGAAAGGATGGGAGCCTATGAGCATTGGAATCTTGAGTCTGGTGGGGGAATCCTCTGGGCCACCTCCTGCCCCTCATCCCTTACCCTGCTTGAATTCATTCTAGCATTCACCTGATGCACCATATGCTGTTGACTATCTATCCCCCACATTTGTCCCTACAGACTGTAGGCCACAAGGCAGCAGAGATTTTTCTGTTTTAGTCACTGCCACATACCTAGAGCACAGGACGTAACCTGGTGCATAAACAGGCACTTAGCATTTATTTGAAGAATGAATTCAGGTGGTGGCCACCTACTACAGCCTATACTATCCTTCCAGATCCTCCAACAAACATGCCAATTCCTATCTGTGCCAGGGCCCCAACCACACTGCTACGTCCTCATCATTCAGGGAACTCTGCTCCAATACCAACTCCTCAGGGAGGCCCTGCCCACACCACCCAATTTATAACAGCCTCCCAATTAACTGGCATCATCATAGCTCACTGCAACTGTAAATTCCTGGGCTCAAGGAACCATCCTGCCTCAGTCTCCTAAGTGGCTGGTGCTACAGGTATGCACCACCATGCCCAGCTGTTCTCTTTATTTTTTTGTAGAAATGAGGTCTCACTGTGCTGCTCAGGCTGGTCTCAAACTCCTGGCCTCAACTGATCCTACTGCCTCAGCCTCCCAAAGTGCTAACATTACAGGCATGAGACACTGTGTTTGGCCTCAGTCTTTTTTTTTTTTTTTTTTTG